GGGGGACAAGGAGGGATGTGATTTAATTTGGCAAATCTGCTCTACCCACCCCCCCCCCTTCATTTGTTAAATGAAGCCTCCCTCCCAACCCCCCCCGTATTCATATTGCGTCGACAAAGTCGGAGCATGTTGCAAGTGAGAAAGGGCCCACTGGGAGAGGAGGCAGCTTGCAGGACTACATCCCACTTCGCAGCCTTGTAGTGTAGCAGAGTAAACCTAAGTTTAGAGAAGATTTAATACCTGCATGCATGCAGTCTGCATGCAAACATGCAGTCCTTGACAGTTCTTGTTCCTTGTCCCCCCCCTCAGGGAACTTGTCTCCGAAGGTGGGCAACAACACGAGAATAGTCCGGAAACAGGTGCAACTGGAAATAGGCATCCCCCCCCCCCTAGGGGGGGGATGCATACGAAGTTCGAGCTAGCTCGAACTTCATAAGCGGGCGATCTTTAATGGCCCATGCCTTGACACGGTGGGTCACGCAGGTGGCCTTGGTCGCGCGCTCTTTTCTCTTTTTTGTCGACCGACCAAGGCCCCACACACCTACAGGGGTGCTTCGCAAGGGAAAAGGCAGGAGCGGAAAAAAAAAAATGGCATGCTGAAAAGGGAGCCGGGCGGGCGAAGAGTTAAAGCCAAAAAAAGCAGGTTGCACTCGTCACCCTGTTTTACAATTCGATTCTTGAGAAATACAAATAATGAATGAAGCTTCAGCATCTGCGTATCCTGTCACCCACCAAGGATGAATCCCAGTACCCCTCCCCCCCCCACCAAAGTTCTTATAAAGTTTTTGCCTTAAAGCGATACGAATATTTAACTAAAAGCGTCCCCTCTCTCGAAGAGAGAGGGGATGCAGCCCCCTCTTGGGACCCCCCCTCAAAAATCAGGGGGGGGTCCCATGAGGGGGGCCGCTAGGGCTCCGCCCAGCTCCTGAAAGGAGAGATGCAGCCCCCCTGGAAGGGGGCCGCTATATTCACTGCATGGCTAGCTCCACTACACATCATCCGCGATACCGGATAGGGATTTTTTTCGACCGCTCACCATAGCCGAAGAAAATGGAAGGGACATGGCTGGCCAGCCATGACTACCCCCCCCCCCCACAATCCGCCCCCTCCTGCCACTACCCTTCCCTTGTCCCTACCAGCCTTGGTATGCATGCACAACTTCGTTTGTGTATGCACCCTCTTCTATTTATAGCCCCTCTTATACGTCCACTTACGGAGTAAGTGGATGAGAGAGGAGGAGGAGGGGCGGCACCCCCCCCCCCGCTCCGTTCATTTCCTTACCCCCCCACCTTGGTTGGGGTGTACCAGAGGGGCTAGGAAATGAGAGGAGAGGGGGGGGGCATCCCTCCCCCCCCTGCTTTCCTGGTCCATTTACATACCCCCCCTAATATGTCCCTCCCCCGGCTCCGTCCACTTACGTAGTAAGTGGATGGCCTTCGCCTGGTGAGAGGGGGAGGGGTGGGCCAACACTTTGTGTGTGGCCTTAGTCGCACCTAGCAAGTTTCAACTACACATGTATGTCTACATATGTAGTTGTAACCAAGGCCGTATTATCCTTATCCCATGTGGGGGGGGCAAAGAAGATGCTGCTGGCCACTGGAATATGCTGGTGGGTGGGAATCAATTGTTGATATTTATGCACCTACACTAATTATTTTTTTATTAAACATGCTAAAGCCTACTTTATTATAAATTTATATAGTGTATACAGTAATCATTCAGTTAGAGCTTAACCTATTATAATTACAGTGGCACTAGAGTAAATAGGTTAAGCTTAAATAATATGTATAAGAAGCACGTACAAGACTCGAACTTACATTCGACGTATTCGTAGTACAACCCCTTGCCAATTAGGCCAACATGCTTAAATTAAACCTCGGTTAGCTTTTCTTAACTGCGCCTACGCGCAGCCCTGCTTTGAAGGTCGAAATTTTACTTTTTATATAATTTCTAACATGGGGCGGAGGGCTGTGTTTTTTAACCACCAATAATCCTACTACCTGTAAGATATCGTATTCTGGATTTACCTATGTATACGGAAGTGAAGCGGAACATGATGGGGCGCTTCGCGGGCACACATGGGAAATTCAGCCAAGAACTAGAACATTTAAAATAAGTATTATTTTTATACGGCCAGCCGAATTTGAATCGGCACCCATCGCTTGGAAAACGACCAGTCTACCATTAACCTATAGCCATTTTTCTTTTTTATTTAATGATAATTTTTTTTTCACTTTCATATTCTATTTCTTATATAAAGATAATTATAATCGCCACCCCTTTTTTTCACCCTGCGAAGTGGGCCTTAAATTTTTTATTCTCAAAATTTTGCCGGCTCCGCCTGCGGAGCCAAACGCGTTTAGGAATCCTTTGGGGGGCGCTTAGCAGGCAAAAGGGGCTGCATAGCAAACCGAGGAATATGCATAGCAGACGAAGTCGGAGGGGCGGTTTAATTTAAACTTAAAAAGTAAGGATGATAAAGAAATAACTAAAATAAATATATGTCCCTTCCCCCCCCCCAGCCTCCCTAGCCTACCTAACGAACCCCCCCCCGGCTCCCGGCTCCGGCCGGCTCCGTCCATTTTCTGCTGCGAAGCTAGTCCGGAAATGGAGCCTAAAAAATAAAAATTTATTTTTTTTTAAGTGGGCTTCGCCTGGTGAGAGAGGAGCCGGGGGGGCTTGTGCATGCAGCCCTTGTATGTCCCCCAGTGTCCCACTACCCCTTGCCTTGTACCCTGCATGCACAACTTCGTTACCCCCCCCCCCCCACTACGGCTCTTATCCCGCGGGGAAGGAATATGCTGGTGGGGTCCTGGAATAAGCAGGTGGGAGAGGAAAGCCCCTTCTTGTACTTGTCCCTTATCCGTGGCCGACTGTATGTCGATGTATACCTTTCCTCCCCTGGACCTTGTCCTGCACTTACTTTTTCTTTTACTTTTTGACCCCCCCCCGAGATTAGGAATAGCATACCAAGGACCAAGGACAAGAAGAGGGACATACATACAAGGGGCATACAAGGAATAGGAGCACGGTACAGGTATACCTGTCCCTGCAGGCAGACCCTCGGGACAAGGCAAAGGGGTACACCGGATTTGTTCCCCGTATCTTCGCAAATATTGCGGAGCAAGCCCTACCCTTGCCTTGGCTTGGCTTGGCTTTCCTAATACCCTTCTTGCGCTCCGGCTTCTTGTATTCCTTCCTTGACCCTATTCCCACCATACAAGCCCTCCCCCCACTCCGTCCAACTACGACCAAGGCTGCGTGTAGTAGTTGGATGAGAGGGGAGGGGCTAGGTGTGCATGCCCAACTTCGTTACTCCGACTTTAGAACTTTAGTCGGCATACAAGGGCATCGAAAGGCATGGCTATGGCGTGAATTCCCCACCCGGCCGGCCGGCCGGCCGGCTCCCAGAGGGCTTTGCCTTTGAGCCCCTGTGGGATAGGGCATACAACCTCCGGGAGGTTGTGCTTCCTTGAAGCGAGCCCTATCCCCCCACTGATTGGTCGGCCAAAATTACTGCTACAACCATTTGGGAGCCGAGGCTGGCAGCATCCCCCCCTCCCAGCTCCGTAGGAGGGGGGCCCTCGTCTCCATAAATTTTTCTGAAAAATACCCCTCTCATTGAAGATGAGAGGGGGTAGGCCGTGAGATAATCTCTTAGGGATATTCACCGCAGAACCAATATATATTTTACCATTAATTTCATTATGGGGGCGGAGCCCGCACTTATAAATTCCTGATTTGCCTTGATTTTCCTGCATAATCTGTGAAAGTTCTTCGATTGACGTAAATTAAAAAAGGTTTAAAACATAACTTCCTCGTATAAAGAAAATCATTGGAAGTGCAGGTTTAGGATGAATAACAAAATTAAACCCTTGCCCGGAGGGCTGTAAATTAAGCACAGAAGCATGGGAGTCAGTAACTAGCAACAGTAAAGGTAAAGCAGCCTTGGTCGAACACCTAATGAAACGCTCCTAATCTATTTTAGTGAAAACATATTTTTTTATACCTCTTTCTCCGTACCCCCCCCACGCAGTGGGGGGGGAATCGGAGAAAGAGGCTAGGGCGGGCGCAGCCCAGCCCTTTGGGCGCAGCGAAGCGGCGGTTTTTTTTTGCGGGCGGAGCCGGCCCCATGCTTGCAGAGAAAAATATCTACTAATACAGCTTATACTTATATTTAATGCTCTAGCTGCTGCACCCATAGAATCATAAGAAGTACTAATATTAGTTGTTACGTCAGTAACTTTTATTTTTTTCAGCGGGAGGTAGAGATAGTGACATTTTTGCGCCAAGGTGAGTTTCCTCTGATCTATTCTCTGCGTGAGCACTCATTTTAGCTCGAGATTCTGCTGAATGTTTATAACCAAGTAACGAGTAAGCATTCTTTAATATATTATACTCGGGCTTTAAGAGTTGCTTCTTCCGAATGTTTGTAGCCAATAGATGATCCAGCAGTAGGTAAGATATTATATTCGGGGTTTAAAAGTTTTCTTTGTTTAATTTTATTAATAAAATACAAAAAAGCGGCCCATGGGGACCCCCCCCCCCGGACTACCCCCTCTCATCTTCAATGAGAGGGGTGATTTTTGAGGGGGGGCGGCTCCCCAAGGGTAGTCCGAAAACGGGCCGATCAAGGTAATATTGTTCTCGACCAAGGCGAAACTACATCGGACGGTTCACAATACTCAAGGATCTCCAGGCTAAAGTTTGATATCCCATGCTTTAATATAGCCCCCCTCTCTTAATAATTTTTTAATAATAAAAATAATAAAGAAAAAAAAAATATGATGTTGGGGCCGGCTCCGCCCACTCGTTGGCGGAGCCATGCAAGCGGCCCAGCACCTTGGTCGGTCGGGGCGTGGCCCCGCCTAATAAATAAGAGGCGGGAGCTGCAAGGGGGCGCGCCCGGCCCCCCTCGCTATATATTCCACTTTTACCTTTTTTGAGTTGAGTATTCATTCATTTGTCTGAAAAATAACGGGTTAATCTAACGGATAGATCTACTCCTCTGCCAACATAGCTTTTACCGTTAGTATTATTCGTTCAGCGATATACCCCCCGGATTTTCCACCCAAGGACCCAAGGACCCAAGGTAGGTTTTCACGGATAATTTGTTTCTCTTGATAACCAGCCTTGACATAAATCGCTGCTGATTTAAAATTATCTAATTTTTTCATGTTTAATTTATTTCTATAGATATAGAAATAGAACATTAATAATATATTTAGCTACAATTACTTTACCATTGTTACATAGGATCAATAGTTTTTTGGGGATTTATAGCTTCAGACTTTTTGGAAGAAAGACCGGAGCCACGCTAGAGTTAACTTGTTCGCTTGCAATAATCTTTATTAGTTTAGATTATAAATAAAATCAGAATAATTTGGTATATAATACGATATTCCATATCGTTTAATTCTACTAATAGAAGTATAGTTTTGAGAATGTATTGTTTAATTTATTCTTGTAAGACCTACAGGATTCGAACCTGTAACCTAATGATTAAAAGACATATGCTCTACCAATTGAGCCAAGGTCTCAGTAAATTATTATTGCAAATTATGAGAGGTTAAATTAAAAACTATTAACATATTATTGCAACCTCCGGAGGGAGTCAATAATTTTTATAAAGACGGTATTCTATGTCATTGTGTCTCCCCCCCCCCCCCCAGGCTGCCTAGCCTCCCTGCTCGCGTAGCAAGTTACAACTACATATGTATGTCTACATATGTATGTTGTTACACAACTTTTCTTTTTTAATTTAAAAAAAAAAAAATCAAAAAAGCGGCCCATGGGGACCCCCCCCCCCCAGGGGGGGGGGGTCCCCAAGGGTAGTCCGAAAAGGGGGGGCGTTCTAAAGGAGCCAAAACCGAGCCTATCCCCACTAACAAAGTTGTGCACCCATATCCTATCCGGTATCGCGGATGATGTGCAGCGGAGCTAGCCATGCAGTGGATGAGGTAGCACCCTCTTCGAGGACGCATGCAGTCCTTGTATGCCGGAGGAGGAGCACCCAAGCTTTCCCTAAAAAGCCGGGGGGTCCCCTCCCTTCATTTCCGTACCCCGCCTTGGTCGGGGTGGCAGAGGGGTGGCAGAGGGGTGGGGCCAGAGGGGCTAGGAAATGAATGAGAGGGAGCCGGGTGGGCGTAGGCTGGAGTCACTGAAAACGCAGTCCTTGTATACCTATTCCTATTCCCGTCCTTTAATGCCCCACCCCCCCCCACCCCCTTTCTATTCTATTCCTATACCTAATCCCCCCCTTCGATATTGCCCACCCCACCCGCCTTCCCCCCCTCTCTTTATAGACCCCCCCACTCCACCTACAACTCGCGTTGTACGGTGGAGCGGGGGGGGGCCGGGGGGTATTGGGCGCAGGTAGCCGCAGATAGCCCCAATTGAGAATTGGGGATTAGTCCTCCCTGCAGAAATGGGGAGAAAGGACAACCTAAAAAAAAAACACTCCTCTGCACGGCTCCCCGGGGAAAGGTAAATGGGCTACCTCCGGACCTATCGGGACACAGGACAAGGGGACGGACATTCAAGGACAGCATGCTGGACATGGACAAAAGAGGAATAGGGAAGGAATATCCTTGCCATGCTGCAAAGGGCATACAACCTCCGGAGCCGGGGTGCACCCCTTCTTTCCTTTCATTCATCCCTATTCCCTTTTCTTGACCCGTCTGGTATACAAGGAAGGGTGAATTCAAGAAGGTGTGTATTTCCCCCCCCACCTCCACCTCCACCCATTCGGAATACATTCAAGGGACAAGAAGCAGGAATTAAAGGCACAGGTATACATGGTACGCCCATTCTAAAGTATTCCTTTCCTTGTATCCCATCCTATCCCTTTTTTGTTAAAAAAAACTGCGCTGCGGCCTTGGTCGGCGGTCTTTTTTGTCTTTGTCACTATTCCTTTTCTTGTCCTGCATGCTCCCCCCTTCTATTTCCCGCCTTCTCCTCCCTGACCCCCCCCCGATTGGTCCCGCAGGTAGCCCTGCATGCAGGTATGGGCGAAAGGGAAAGGAGGCCAATCCAAAGGAGTGAATTCCCGATGACCCCCTAACTCAAGAACCCCCCCCTACCCGGGGGTGGGGGTTATAAATAAAAAAAACCAAAAAAAAATATGCACATCCTTCGGAGCCATAAGCGGAGCCAAAGGTGCAGGGTAATGGTTTCGGCCTCCGAAGGATGTGCATAGCCTCCGAAGGGCTATTCCTCGACACCTGCTGCCTCCTTGGTGGGCGCACTGCATGCTACCACATCCACCCCCCCCTAACGAAGTTGTGCATGCATGCAGGGTTTTTCCAGAATGCAGTCCCCTGGGACACCTGGTTCTAACGAACTAGCTGATAAGGATAAGCAGGGGGTATAAACTACCCGGCCGGCCGCCCAGCTCCCGCCCCCCCTTTTTCTCCCCCCCCGGCGTAGCAGCCCCAGCCTGCCACAGGCCGGCGTGGGGCTAACTCAAGAAAATAAAGATGAGAAGAGAAGAAGAGTATGGGGAAAAAGGGCAGGAAAGGGCTGTGTAGCTGGTCTCCGACTAGCCATGTCTCCGACTAGCCTAGGGTGAAGGAGGCTAGCCTGCCCTGCTGTGTCCAGCATGCAGTCCTTTTCCTGCGCCCAAAGGGCGACCCAACACTTCCCCACCCATCCATTTCAACTACGACCAAGGCTGCGTGTAGTAGTTGGAGGGATGGGTGGGTTGGAAAGTGTAGGCAGGGAACTGGTACAGGTACTGGCTCGGTTTTGGCTCCGCTAATGAAGTTGTGCAGAGGGAAGAAGAGTAAGGCCATCGGAGGGGGGTGAGTATGGGGTTAAATACACGACCAAGGCATGCTTCCCTAGGGCTAGCAAGATAAGGAAGGCAGGGTTTTTGCATATTTTGCTATTCCTTTTCCACCCTGCAGCCTATTCCTCTGCTATTCCCACCTTTGCGACATTCATCTCCGATGGACGCCTTGCAGGGGGATTGAAGGCATGCATGGCTGAGACAAGGACATACAAGCGAATTAAAGAAGGCAACATATTAGAAAAAATCAAAAAAAAAATAAAAAGCACTCCCCGCTCCTCCCCCCCACTCCGCCTTGGTCGTGGGGCCCCAGCTACAGGGATGCAATGGGTGCTTCGCAGGGCATGTGATGGGAGGGTAGCCATTGCATGCATTGCGGCATGCATGCCCGGCTACAAGGTATGAAAGGGGACATGCAAGGACACACAGGGAATACCACTACGATGGGGACATAGGGATACGAGCCTCACCCCCCCCGGCTCCGGGGTGGTTGGATAGTAGGCAATAATACCCCATATGGTACAAAATTGAATGTGCAAAATCGAGATTAATATAGTCGTTTAATAATATTTCTTATAGAATAGTAATGATTCTTTTTTTATTTTCTTATCCTATGTTGACCAAGGAGACTAATTTCCCGGCCGGCCGGCCGGCCGGCTCCTTGGTATGCCCCCCCCCACACACTGCGATAGGCTCCCTTTATTTTTCACACTGCATGCAGACCAAGGCTGGTGCTCACCTGCCTTGGTCTGCATGCCCAACTTTGTTAATACTGGAGCTGCACATCCTTTGGATAAGCCTGCTTCACTGGGACATACAAGGGGGACACACACCGCTTAAATTTGGTCGGAGGCCGGTACATTTTTTTTACCGTGTTAGATATATATGTTATCCCCCCCCCCGCCCCCCGGTAATAAACCGGGCGGGGAGCTCATATTTTTTGTGGAAAAAGCCGTGATTTTGTTAAGGTTGTAATGAGGGTAATTAGAATAAATAGGTGTTTTATATCATAAATCTTATAGAAGTACTAAGATCTAAATAAAAACCCTCCTCTCTCTCATTTTTTTTAATGAGAGAGAGGAGGGGGTGGGCCGTGAAATAGTAACATATTTGGTGAGGCTAGTTGGAGACATGGCTGCCCTCCACCCTCCACCCTCCACCCTGCCTTCCCTTACCTTCCACCCTAGCATGCAGACCTATCAGGATCTACCACCCACCCACCCACCCTCCCTCCACCCTTCAGGATCTAGCCTCCGCAGCATCTTAGGGATCCCCCACCAAATAGCAGCATGGCGGACCACCATCAAATACCAACCACACCGGAGTGAAGAAGGATCTGGCGATGATGGAGAATCCATCATCGCCAGCTCCTTATTCCTCCCGACTCCTCTTCCTCCCGGCTCCATCTCAGCCTATATTCATACTAGGAAGAAGAGCGGCCCCTTATTTATTAGGCCGGCTCCCTAATAAATCCTTTTCATCGCTGGGGGCTCCGCCCTGCCGCCCCGATGAAAAGGGGGCTGGGCGGAGCCCCACCGAAGAAAAGGGCGGGGGGGGTTAGGGGTGCAAGGGGGGGGTGCGCTCTTTTTCTTTTTTTCTTCGAAAAAAACTTGGAGCCCCCCCTCGCTCTGAATCTCCGGATCCTCCATTCTTCCCTCTGCACCTTTGAGTATTCCGGGGATAAATACCCAACCCTCCGGGTAGCGCACTATTATAATACCTTCCTCTCTCTCATTTTTTTTGAAAAAAAGGAAACTTATCTCAACGCGGGGCTGAAAGCCCCGCGTGGAGAGAAGGCTGTTCGGGAGAGAGGAAGGGGCGGGCCCTTTTCTTTTTTATTGTGGGTAGGGCTCCACCCAGCTCCTTGGCGGGCGCCCTCTTTGTTAGAGCCGGGAAAAAAAAAATCAAAAAAGCGGCCCATGGGGACCCCCCCCCCGAACTACCCCCTCTCATCTTCAATGAGAGGGGTGATTTTTGAGGGGGGGGGGGGGGTCCCCAAGGGTAGTCCGAAAAGGGCGGCCCCCTGCGAAGCGTCCCTGCTGCTTACGAAGTATGCACAACTTCGTTAGGCGTTTTTTCTGCTCTGCGCAGATCCAGGTAAAAGCGGGATTACCCTACCCCCCCCCAGCCTCCCTCCTTGTCCCCACCTTGGTCTGCATGCTAGGGTGGCTGGGGGCTTCGCTGGGAATAAGCCTGTGGCGCTAAAATTAGAATAGCCATGTTTACGAAGAGAGTGACAAATATACATGGGCAGGCAAAGCCACATTTGGCCTGGGGCACCCTAACGAAGTATCCTGGTCGCCCACCCCCCCCCCCCCCGATCACAACCCCGCTGCGCAGGTTGTGATCGAGGGTTAAATATAAACCGTACGCTTGGGTAGCGAGGAGCCCTACACCAAGCTAGGCTGCGGCAGGGCTACGGCCTAAAAACATTATCAAATTATTTTACCTAAGTCTACTCCACTTCCAACATAGGTTTTCCACTTTTAAATCCCTCCTCTCCGTCCATTTACGTACCCCCTAATATGTCCCCCCCCTCTCTTAATATTTTTTTAATAATAAAATAAAAATAATAAAGAAAAAAAAATATGAGAGAGGGGGGGGGGGCTCCCCCCCCCTTATTTATTAGGCCGGCTCCGTCCACTTACATAGTAAGTGGATGGCCTTCGCCTGGTGAGAGGGGAGGGGGGGCATGGGGCGGAGCCGACAACGATAAATTCCACTTTTCTTTTTATTATCCCCTACCAGCCTTGGTCTGCATGCACAACTTCGTTAGTACAAGCAGACCTGGTCAAAGGCTCGACCATTATTTAGTTTACATTATATATATTGTAAACCTGCTCCGGTGGCGGTGGGTGGGCAGCACAAATTTGAGCAGTAGGCTCCGCCTACTGCTCATCTGCATTAGAATAAAATTTTACTGGGAAATAAAACCTTTTCTTTTTTATTTTTTAAAAAAAAAAATCACAAACCATGGGGACCCCCCCTGCATGCAGGGGGGGCGGCTCCCCAAGGGTAGTCCGAAAAGGGAGCGCCCTTTTCATTTTTAAATTTAAAAAAAATAAAAATGAAAAGGGGGGCTGGGCGGAGCCCCACCGAAGAAAACCTCTCTCAATAAAGTTGAGAGAGGGTCGTTCGGGAGCGCCCCCGATGAAAAGGGGGCCTTTTTTTTGGGCCCCTTGGGCGCCCGAGAGGGCAAAAAAAAAAGAAAAGGGCCCCCTTTTCTTTTTTAATCATGGCCGGCTCCGCAGGCCAAGCTGTTGTATTATTGTAGGGTTTAGGTTTATCCAACGATAACCAAATTTTCCATTAACATTCGTCATAATGGTTTTCTGATATTTTGTTAGCATTTGGATAAAGCCAAATAGGGAAAATAGAAAGAGCTACGCCGTATAACTAAAGAAACCGTCAAATATACCTGCTGTACCAAACGTTAAAATTAATATATAAAAGATTAAACCAATTAGTTGGGTCGGCCCTAGTCCTTTACAGCACTCGCCGCCCTCCGAACCGTACGTGATAGTTTCCCATCATACGGCTCTCCATCTGAATAGTTGATAGTTGTGTGTAGTCCGCTGCCACGATTTCACCTTGTTAGGCCGGCTTTTGGACTACCTTGATCTTCTATCCAGACTGCCACCCTTCCTTTTTACAGTACTACGATGGCTCCGTCTCCATGACTTTAAGTCAATCCCGTGATTTTTGAACATGCAGCTCCAGCTACATGTGAACATCTGCGGTTATTTAGCAACCCATTAGGTTCCCTTAGGAGATCCCATAGTTCGCATAGATTGGTAAATGTCGTATTTAGCCCCCTGCGGTATTTTTGTTTACTCTGTGTAATGTGGATTCGTCTTCCCTTTTCTGAAATACATATATTATTATCTCAGGAGACCGAATGATATGCCCTAGTCTGGATTTTAGCATATGGCCTTTAATACCACCACGTACCGTAATATCAGGTTTGTTAACCTAGCCATGTACGACTCGGGTAGCAGAATATACTAGACGTTTCCAGCACGTCCTTCTTCCACTTTTCCAATAGCTATCTTCGTTGGAGTTTCCTCCCATGAGTTAAGGCTCACCCGAAGTATTGGATCCCTTTCCTCAAAAGGTGTGAGGGTTTAATAAACTCCCTCTCTATGCACACAATGGCGCACATATATATAAAGCATAAGATGTAATAATACCTGTGTCCAATTTAGCAATATTTTTACTTAAATTAAGTAATCCTTTTTCTAATCCAAAAGGTCCTATTAATTCAATAGAACCTTTATCAATAATTTTAGTTGTTTGTCCACCTAAAGCTAAAATAGTACCAGTAACGAACTTATTATAGAATAACTCTACTAAGAATCGTTGATTAAAGAATCCAAAAAGATTATAGCCAAATCTAGTGAATTTAAATGACATTAGTAAATTAGGGTAAAATTCAGATAAAACCAGAGCTAATCCAGAAAATAATATAGTAGAAATAAAAGGTAATAATTTAAAAATAGTAGGTACTGCAAACTCGGTTTCTATCATAATTTCATGTGAAGGATGAATAAATAAACTGTTATCAGCAAAAAATGCTGAACCAAGTCCAATATATATATCTTTAGTAATATATCCAAAGAATATAGAGAAAATAGCCAGAATAATTAAAGGTAAACTCATGAAAATATCACCCTCGTGAGCTTGTTTATAATTTATTTTAGGTCCACGGGGATTAGCTAGGAAAGTTAAGTATAAAACCTTGACTGAATATAATGTAGTAAATATTGCACCAATAGTAGCAATAAAGTAAACTACAATACTAGAAAAATAAAATTGACCAAAGGCAGATTCCAGAATAAAATCTTTAGAATAGAATCCAGTCATGTAAGGGAAAGCAACTAAACTAAGTGAAGCTATTAACATAACTGAATAACTTAAAGGTAAGAATGCCCGTAGCCCTCCATATTTTCTAAAGTCTTGATTGTCACTAACAGCATGAATAACTGCACCTGCACCAAGGAAAAGAAGAGCTTTGTAGACACTTCAATAACAAAAGGTAATAGATTATCGTCCTAAAAGAGGTTAATTAAATAATAGTAAGATTAGGGAGAGAAACATGCCTTGGTCGTAAAAGACTTGGCTCACGGCTCCCGCTTTGGAGCCGGCCGGCCGGCCGGCCGCCCGGTAATAAAAAAAAATAATTTGATTGTCTTTTAAACCTTTTCTTTTTTAATTGTGGGTAGGGCTCCGCCCAGCTCCTTGGCGGGCGCCCTCTTTGTTAGAGCCGGGAAAAAAATAAAAAAAGCGGCCCATGGGGACCCCCCCCCCAGGGGGGGGTCCCCAAGGGTAGTCCGAAAAGGGCGGGGCCGGCCGGGGGGGCATCCTTCGGAGCCATTATTAGGTAAGTTACGAACTTCTTCCATATTTAATAGAAATGTTGAGCCTTCTTTGGGTATTGCTCCAGGATAGTGTTGTGAACCCCCCCCCCCCTGCACCTTGGCTGAATATAAATGCTGCATGCAGCAGGGGGGGGAGCCGGCCGGACCGACCAAGGCTGAAGTTGTGCATGCAGGGGGAGTTTACCAAAAAAAATGCCTGCGTAAGCGAGCCCTCCTTGGTCGAAATAATTATACTTTTTTAAAAGTATATCTACCTTTATAGGCCTTTTTCTTTTTAATTTTTTTGTTAAAAAAAATAAAAAGAAAAAGGGGGGGACCCCCTGATTTATTAGGCCGGCTCCTCTCTTAATATTGTTTAATAATACCCTCTTTTCCGTTTATTTCCGACCCTCAACCCCCCCCCCCCACTTAAAAGCCCCGGCTCCCCCTCTCTTAATATTTTTTTAATAACCCTCCTTTCCGTTTATTTCCCAGCAAAGCAGGGAAATAAATGAGAAAGGAGGGGTAGCTACGCAAGCAAATAATAAAAATAATAAATAAAAAAAATATGACCTCTCAACGCGCTGAAAGCGCGTTGTGGGCTGTTCGAGAGGGGGCGGCGGGTTTTATTTGTCCACGAATAAAATATGGGGCCGGCTCTGCCAACCTTGGTCGAAATTATTTTATGGCTAGTATTCAAACTTCTAGCAGCTTCAGCCATGGAATTATAAATAGTTACAATGTTAGTTTCTAAATCCTTTTCATTTTTAATTTAAAAAAAAAAAATAAAAATGAAAAGGGGGCCCTGTAATTTCTATTTTCTGAGTATTAGGCTGAGAAAGAGATAATCGAAGTTTCTGTTCCCGGCTCCGTTCTTTTGATTCCCAAATTTTTACCCACACCAGAAGCACTTATTCTTTTCTTGGTTTCCTCAGAATGTTTTCGGCCTAACATCGAAGAGCATCCTCCGCAGGAGAGATGCAAAGCCCCCTCTTTGTTAGAGGGGGCTTCGCTAGCTTCCTGTGAGATATTGTAATCAGGTTTTAATAGTTTAAAATAATGGTTTTCCCTTTCAATAACCCCCCCCTGCTAACTTCACCCCCCCCCCTTCCTACCTACTACGCGAGTAGTAGGTAGGAAGGGGAAGTAAGGGGCGGAGCCGGCCGGGGGGGGTTGCCTGGGTCGGATTAGCCCCCCCCCTAACATAATCAGAATTATGTCGAGCTTAATCTTACTCACCTTTTGTTAACACCATATCTCTATGGTGAGTAGATCATATCATATTATTATTAATTACTAATAATAATCTTGGCGTGTGATCGTTGAGGATCCTACTAAATATCTAATTAAATATTGTGGGTTTCCTACTGATTGTCCATTTAATTCAATAAATATTACATACTAAAAATTGTTACTTAGAATTAAGTATTTTAGTCTTTAGGAGTTCCCAGTATATAGCCAAGTTTTACATACCCTCTACAAACCTCCCCTCTCTTCATTTTTTAAAAAAAAACTTATCTCAACGCGGGGCTGAAAGCCCCGCGTGGAGAAGGCTGTTCGAGAGGGGAGCCGGGGGCTTTGTCTTTTAAAATCCTCCTCTCTGTCCATTGAAAATGGATGAGAGAGGAGGAGCAAGCCGAAAAGAGGTCCGTGAAGGCATGATTTACTAAGTGGAATAAAGCCACATTATATGACGATAAACCAACAGCAATAACCATCATACCTAATTGGCTCATAGTTGAATAAGCTATAACCTTTTTAATATCTTGTTGGAAAAGTCCAATAAGAGAACTGAAAACACTTGTAATAGCTCCAATTCATAAACATAATATTAAAACAGTTGAACTATATTCTATTAAAGGAGATGCCCGCATTAATAAATAAACACCGGCAGTTCATTTGTGTTGGTTATTCCCTGAATAGTACAATATTAGCATGGGGCTCCGCCCAGTCATGAAAAAAAAGTTGGGGCCGGCTCCGCCATGCTTTTATATAACCTTTTCATTTTTATTTTTTTTAGAAAAAAATAATAATGAAAAGGGCGGGGCTACGATATGATTAAAAACTAACCTTATAAAGGAATAACACACCATCAATTTAATGATGGATCGGACTATATCTTTAACTTATATTGAATTTATTAATATCTTTTGTTAATAAATCTATTTTATTTAAACCATCTAATGTAAGATGTTTTGTATCTAAAACCTTTTCTTTTTTATTAAAAAAAAATCCAAAACAAACCCCCCCGCTCCACCTACAACTAGCGTTGTACGGTGGAGCGGGGGGGGCCGGGGGGCCCCATATCATGTATTTTACATCATTTTTTAAATGCGCACCTTGGTCGGGGAGATTTTTTTGTTTTTAATTTATATATAGAAAAATAATTTACCGGCTCCGCCGCAAAATTATTTTAAGTTTAGTAAAAGAAGAACAATGAAAAACTCAGCCATCTCAAGATTTATCATATTTAATATTTTTAAGGTCTGATTCTTTTTCATTTAAAAATACTTCTCGTAAGAGGTTTATTATATAAAATTCTTTCTGAGAAACTGAAAAAGTTAAATGTGGAGCGGCCCCCCCCTTATTTATTAGGCCGGCCGGCTCCTAATAAATCCTTTTCATCGGGGCGCCGCCCCTCATCTCCATCCGTACTACGATAGTAGTAGGATGGAGAGTGAGGGTTTTAAAACCTTTTCTTTTTTAATTTTAAAAAAAAAATCAAAAAAGCGGCCCATGGGGACCCCCCCCTGCATGCAGGCATGCAGGGGGGGGCGGCTCCCCAAGGGTAGTCCGAAAAGGGGGCTGGGCGGAGCCCCACCGAAGAAAAGGGCGGGGGTTAGGGCTGCAAGGGGGCGCGCTGCGCTCTTTTTCTTTTTTTCTTCGAAAAAAACTTGGAGCCCCCCTCGCTCTTCTAAGTTTAGAAGTTCTACAACTTTTTACGACCAAGGCCCCAGTAAAACATCCTTCGGCGTCGGAAAACCACCCTTCGGAGCCGGCCGGCCGGTAATAAAAAAAATAATTTGATTTTTTTTACGGGAAATTCAACCATTACCCCCCCTTCCTACTACTACGCGAGTAGTAGGTAGGAAGGGGGGAGTATAAGCTAGGTTTAACTAATTTATCTATAAATGGAATATCCATTTTATATTGTAGATTAAATGTGTCTAACCAAACTTTAAATTGTTCTTTTTTATAGTTAGTAGAAAGATTTCCATTAAATATTGTCATTAATCTTAAATTTTCTGCGAAGCCACGGTCGAAGAAACATAAAAAACTCCAACATTTCTATGTTTTTCACTTCTAATTAATACTTTCCCAAAACCTAATTCAAGGGGTGGCCCTTCGGCCCCCCCCTCGCATTTGTATATCTTCTGCGAAGCCACGGTCGATTTTGAGTTATATCAAAATAAACTTTATTTTTAGATACGATAAAAGAACCATCTCCTTCTGTAAAACCTATAAATCATTCTATGAATCTTTGGCGGGGCCGGCCGCGACTTCAGTCGCGGCCAGGCCAGCCGGCGCCACGTTGTGGCATCCGGTTAAATTTTTACCCTCGATCGTCACTTCGTTCGATGATCGGGGCTACGCCGCCGCGCGTAGCGCGGCGGCGCCGGTAAAGGTTTTAGATTTAAATAATCATCAAAATTATAAGTTATATCGCGTGTAGTCTCTGAGGAGCCTTTCTCATCTTCATTTATATCTAGAGTTTCAGATGAAAGAGTTTCCTGCTGATTAACCCCCTTTATAACATATAGACTGGGGGCGAGGCCCCCTGTTAAAAACCCCCCCTTCTCTCTTAAATTTTTTTAAAATAGAATAATAATAAAGAAAAAAAATACCAAAAATATAAATATTTTTGGGTAGGCCGAGAGAGAAGGGGGGCCGCACAAGATTTTCTTATTCATCTTATTTAAATTACTTAAAATATGAATAAACTTGATGTAAGGTTTTTCCAGCATATAGCAATATAATAATAGATTGACTCACGCCAATCCACGGCAAACGTTTACCATTGTAGCGGCGTGTATTAATGCAGAAACGGGTGTAGGCAAATATGTTGGTTTTTATTATATATGAAATAAAAACACTCAGTTACCTTAATAACTGTTCGGACTATATCTTCATTTATATTATAATATATTATATTATCTTGTCTAATCTATTTAAATTTTTATTGTATCTTTTTATAAGAGTTAAACCATCAGCAGTTAAATGCTTTTTGTCTACTATTAACTTGTACATTTTATTTCAATTAAAATAAACTATATGTTTTTTAGTTTTCAAAGGATAAAGGTCAAAATATTTAATGACTAGACCTAATTTAGTTGTATTAACTGTCATATTGTAACCTGAATAGCTTTTAAGATAATGAGTTTTACCATTTAACATATCTGCTAAATATTTCATCTGATCATAATTACCTTTTTGAGATAAAATATATCTTAATCTAACTAAGCCACCATTTGTTGGTTTGTCAATGATTGAACAAGTAAAACAACCTTCAGCATCTGTAAACCCACATAACCAAGAATTAGATAAATTGGGTTTATTGTTATTTTCTAGATAAGTAATGTTTTGTTTATATTTGTAATTATAGGCAGCTAGTCATAACTTAAATTGTTCTTTTCTACTGTCTAAGAACAAATTACCATTAAATATAGAGATTATCTTAAATAACCCTTCTTTATCTCTTACTCTATAGCAATGAGTGTTATTTTTTTTATCTTGAATTCTTACAACACCAAAACCTAGGCTCTTTTTTATATAAAATAATACTTGAGCATCCAGGCTTGATTGTGTAATTTTAAATTCTAGATAGCCATCTTTATTTATTATAAAAGAGACGTCTCCTTCAACAAACCCTATTAATCAAAATTTGAATATATTATCTTTTAATATAAATGCTTCACGAGTAGTCTCTGAGGAACCTAAATCTTGCACTAACCCGGGCCTCTCTCTCTTTTTTTTAAAATAAAAAAGGAAACTTATCTCAACGCGGGGCTGAAAGCCCCGCGTGGAGAGAAGGCTGTTCGAGAGAGGGAAATTAGAGCACTTGATTAAGTTTCCGGCGGATTGTCCCTGTTCTTGGATTTTTCCGAGCAAGAAATATCTCTTGAGTGGACCAAGAATTAAAGCAGGATGTTCCCGCATATAGTGAAGTTTAAGGAAAGCCCGGTTACACCAACCTTCCATCGCTAGAGGAAGCCAGACGTGAAGACCGACTTGAGAACTTTTAGCCATAGCACCAATTAATAAACAAATACCTATTATAGTTATAATATTTTCACTTATAAATGGGGCTAATGAAAATACAGTTGCATAATCTACATTCAATTGTAGGTGCTTGCTTTGCTAACAACTACGTTATTCGATGCTAGCTTTGCAAGCACCCTTATAGCCTTTCAACTATAAATTGGACTATATCTTCACCCCAGAAAAAAACCATGCTGGGGGTATAACATGTAGTCTCTGAGGATCTTACTTTAATTATAAACTCAAGGATTCAAACAAAAGAACCTTCACCAGAAAGCCTCCTTGTCTTGCGCAAGAATTTAAAATTAAATTCATTTCCTGCGGATTGTCCATTGTCACTAATATAATTGTGTGCTATATTTTTTGATCTAAGATAAAAAAAATAAAGGAGCCGGAAGAAGGTGCACACCACTTTTATAGTTAATGTGCCCCCCTGCATGCACGGAGCCTTGTAACTATGTTACTTGGTGCGAACAACCCCCGCCCCCCCCTGCATGGCCCCCAGGCCATGCAGCAGTGCACACAATGCTATAAGTTCTATTCTTTTTAATGTTTATGGTCTGTGTACGCTTCTAATAATATAAAAAAATAAAAAGTAGTTTCCACAATATCCTACAAAAAGACTTTAGGGGTTTCCCGCATATAGTTATATAATAAGAGCGATATTACTATCGCCCACGGCAATGTATTTAAAATGTTAAAGAGTCTAAATGTGAAAAATCGAATACCTCCCGCTTACTGTTAAATTTATTTTTGATTGCTTTAATTTTATCCAGATCCTCTTTACTGCCCCCCCCCCTTTTTTCATTACCTCTTTCTCCGTACCCCCCCCACGCAGTGGGGGGGGGAATCGGAGAAAGAGGGTAGACCGGGCGCAGCCCAGCCAGCGACCCTAACTCAAGAAATAGAATAATGAACCCTCAATTAACTTTTCATCGGGGGTTTTAAAACCTTTTCTTTTTTAATTTTTAAAAAAAAAATCACAAAGAAAACCTCTCTCAATAAAGTTGAGAGAGGGTCGTTCGGGAGCGCCCTTTTCTTTTTTTCGCCCCCCCCGGAAGAAAAGGGGGGCCACCAGCGTCCCCCTGCGGAGCAGGGGAGACGCATCCTAGCGCGCGCTCCGCGCGCGCGGATGCTAAGTATGGAGAAAGCCTTTTTAAGTTTTTCCCTTATTTATTAGGCCGGCTCCCCCAAATAGTTAACGTTATTATATGATTTAGTAGAATAACTCCTAAACCCTCTAGGATATCTCTTTAGGGTTTGTCACTCGGATCCTCCGTATAGTTTCCTGTTAGGCTCCCGGCTCCGAGGAAGTAGAATGTGAACTTAGACCGTTCGCCCCCGCTACATTGGATAAATTTAGGTTTTTATCCCGCTCAGGGTATTTATTAAGTTTTGATCTAAGTTCCTTAATTTTATTTGATCCTTCTGAAGTTAAATGTGCTTTAGAATTAACTTTAAGTAAAATTTCTCTTCAAATTAAATAATTATTATACTTATTTCCTATTAATTTATAGGTATCAAAATGAGGTACAATTATGCTAATCAAATCTTTAATATTACCTACAGTATAATACACCATTTCTTGTTTAGGACTTAAATTAATTCTACCTACCCCGAAAAATTCTAATATTCTTTGAATTAAAACATTTTCTCTATGATTTAACCCTACCATTAAACGAACATTTACATAATTAGTAGTAGATTCTATGGAGATAGTAAATGAACCATCTCCATCAATAAATCCACTAACCCAATAAGGACCCCCCCGCTCCACCTACAACTAGCGTTGTACGGTGGAGCGGGGGGGGGCGCCCCCTCCCCCTTATTTATTAGGCCGGCTCCTTCATTTTTTCCCCTCTCGGGCTAGCGCCCCCGTTAGGGGGGGCTTTACCAAAAAAGGAAACTTATCTCAACGCGGGGCTGAAAGCCCCGCGTGGAGAGAAGGCTGTTCGAGAGAGGGGAGGGGGCCGGGCTGGGGGGTGGAAATAAATGAGAGAGTCGCCGGCAGCCTCCGCACAGACCCTTACCCTGCCAGGGTAAGGGGGCTGTGGGTAGGCAGCCTACCCCCCCTCTCCCCCTTTTCTCCCCCCCATACTCTTCTTCTCATACCTCTATTCTCTTTCTCGAGTTAGGGGAGAAAAGGGGGGGGGAGAGGGGGGCGGAGGGATTGAAGTTTATATAACCTTTTCATTTTTAATTTTTTTAGAAAAAAAATCAAAATGAAAAGGGCGGGGCCAACGGTAAATCTATAGAGTGTAATTTAATTTTGAATCTAGCCACCGATGTCCAATTTTTTTCTGTTTAAATACATCAATAATAAAACCCTTCCTCTCCACCTACTATTCGCATAGTACGGTGGAGAGGGAGGGGGCGGGCGCCCAAGACTCAGCGTCGCAAAACCCTGTTACATATGAAGGATTAACTTTTTCAGTTAAAGAAGAACAGGATTCTGGGCCCATATTACGAGAACAATTAGAATATCGTCTCACTTGTCTGTAAGGCATAATTTGGATATTTTTCTTTTTTATTCCATTAAAATCTTTAAACATTTTTGTATTCTTACCAAATGATCATAATATAGCAAACATTCCTATAGTTAAAAAACAATCTCCCACTCTATTAGTTAATAAGGCAGATATTGAACTTTGATTAGCTGCTATTCTAGTGTATCAGAAATTAACTAATAGATAAGAACAAATACCAACACCCTCTCACGGATTTGTTATCGGTAAATACCGATAATATAACAAAGTTGGGTATATCTACATGTACTGGTTTATCCTACTGATCTATACCTAAGCTTATATAACCTTTTCATTTTTAATTTTTAAAAAAAAAATAAAAATGAAAAGGGCGGGGCCAGCTCTGGTATAAAAAAGGGACTCACCAAAGTTATCAGTTTATCCATACTTTTTTTACTTACTCTAATTCTTCAACCTACTGTTCCAGTACTTGAAACACGTTTATTTAAAGTAGATTTTATTCCAAACTTTGAGTCTAAAACACTTACTAAAACCTCTAGCGAGGGGGGGGGCCCGAAGGGCCACCCCTTGCATCGCCCCCCCCCCTGATTTTTGAGGGGGGGGCGACGCTCCTCTCTGGTAAAACTTTCTGCACATAAAACAACAACAGCCCTATCTGATATAAACAGACCGTCCCCCATAATTCAATGAGCTAGCCCCCTAGGAGTTAATAAATCTCCTATGTTTAAAGGTACAACTTTTGTTTTATTTTTGTAAAATAAATCATGGAATATATTCAAACAAGAAAAACTCAATGTTCTAAAATACATAGACTTATAGACTTTACCTGTTCTTGGGTCAGGTTTTCTTACATTAATAACTGGTTCCATACCAATTAGAGGGCTAAATAAAGTGTGAATACTTAATACGTATGACTCTTGTTCTGGATAAGCATGGTCTACTCTAAGTCTTGCATTATGACCAGGTTTTACTCTTTCTAAAAACCTTCCTCTCTCTCAATTTTTTTGAAAAAAAATGGGAGAGAGGAAGGGCGGGGCACCGTCTGCTAACATTAGACCTACTAGAGCGAGGGGGTGCGTGATAACGCACCCCCTTGCAGCCCCCCCCCTTCCCCCCTTTTCTCCCCTTAATTTTGAGGCGTAGCAGCCCCAGCCTGCCACAGGCCGGCGTGGGGCTAACTCGAGAGAGAGTAGAGAGAGAAGAGAAGAAGAGTATGGGGGGGAGAAAAGGGGGGGGGAGCCGGCCTAATAAATAAGGGGGCCGCTTCCTTTTGCTCCTCTGTTAACTCATACTCTTTTTTATATTTATTAGAGTATTTGCCCTCTTTAGGAGTTTTACAGTAAAATCGTTTAAATACAAATAAAAGATAAGAAAAATAGTCTGGATAAGAGATATAAATTAAGAATAAATCTGACCCTCAACTTCGCCATATTAATTTTACTCAGCCCTCCGGGCAGGTAAAATACTGGACTATAACTTCACCCTCCTTCCCCTTTTTTGTTAAGTACTACTGAAGAGGGGTGTACCACGTTTAGTCTCTGAGGAACCCAATCTTAAGAAAAAATAATATGGTTTCCTGCTGATTGTCTAGATATACTTAAGATTGTTACTATGCCTTTATTATAAAATAGGTGGAGTACTTAAGCCTTACAAGAGATTCCAGCATATAGTGGTATAATTATTTATATACTTAAATACATAAACGGCCGAGAAAGACCTACAAACATTAATAAGAAATTATTAGCTGTTACTAACAAGATCATAAATCATGTGAATAAGCTTAAGTAACTAAAGAATCTTTGATTATGCAATTAAGTCAAATTTATCCTACAATTGGTTTATTGGGTGTTTGATACTAACAATGGTTATTTATCTTCAAAACTTCTACCTATATTCATACCAGATTTTATCTCTCTAATGGAATTTATACCCTCAACCGTAAGATGAGCACTATTAATCATTAAACTATGAATTTTACATCAATCAAGACAATCATAGAGTTTTATACCAATTATAGGGTTTTTATTAAAAAATGGAACTATTATATTGGTAATATCAGTAAAGTCAACTATTGTTAAACTAACAGCAGACTTACCACCATATTTGTATATCTTTCCTGACCCAAAGTATTCAACTATTTTCTCCATTAATCTAAGATCTCTACTATGTTGAGTTATTCTAAATCTCAATTGTACTCGATAACCTAATTTACTGTTGGTTGATGGTATACGAACATCAAAGTTACCCTCAGCGCTAACAAATCCTGAAATTCAATGAGGGTCTAAAATTACATTGTCAGAATTTATTACAGGTCTTTCAACTGGAGTATATCCAGCAAACTCTGATTTTAACATGTCAGATAAACCTAAATTCATGGATGCTTTGATATTTACTATTTGATTTAAACCTTCAACAGTAAGATGTTCTTTATTATTTACAAGTTTTACCACTTGTTTAAATAATAAAAAATCCGCGGCTTTTTGAGTTAATAACGGATATTTTTCTAAATGAATAATAAGTTTATTTAAATCTTCAATAGAATCTATTGAATAATTAACTATCTCTCGGTTTCGAGCTAAATGAATAGAACCAATACCACCCAAGTATTGTTGTAATAGATATAATAAGTTAAGATCTTTAGTGTGTAGACCTATTTGAAATTTCAATTGAACACGTCAACCTAATTTACGCGTTTTATTTCTATCTACTATTATACTAAATGAACCCTCACCATCTATTAAACCAGATCAGACTCCAGGATTTACAATAGTAGAATTATAGGTAGAATATTTTTTTAAACCGAATTGCTTAGATGGGACTTTGACATAGGAGTTTCAACCTTGTTGCATGTTGAAACCGAGTTTTATACCTCCGTTCCTTTCGAAACCCCATAGAGTACACCTTAAATCCATTAATTGTGGCTTAATGGATCAACTGCCGTCTACTCTTTGCTCTTTTACAACCATACTGTTTAGTATGGTTGACTTAGATCCGCGATTGTCCATTTCGTTTTCACTCATCTTAAGACTTGTTACCGTACCTGAGTAATTACTTCAGCCACTTATAGCCTTTCGACTACAGCTTGGTACCTTAAGCTTTAGGATATCCCCGGAGTTTGACAATTTATCCCCATAGACGCGTTTTCCCCTAACGCGACCTCGAGGATCATGACTCATGTATCCTATGGAGTAAATATGAACTAAAGAAGATACAATTAAAACGGGGATAAGCATAGATACTGTTAAGGAATCAAAGTGAAAACCAATAAATACGTTTAATGATTCTGAATCAATCCAGGTAAATAGCTTGATGGAAACAGGTATACTATTTAAACCTACTTCAAAATAAGCAGCTATAGCTAACAGTGTTGTAAGAATTACTAAACTAGAAGTAATTAATTGTGCTCCAGTGACTCCGATCTTTCTTCCAAAAAGACCGGAAGCTATTGATCCTAGTAAGGGTAAAGTAATTATAGCTAAATACATTATTTAATATTCTATTCCTATACTTCCTCTTCGTGTTTCCCCTTTACCATAGAAATTTTTAGTATTTCCTTAGGACGGCTGGGTATACCCATAACTTTTACGTTATGCCTGACTATATCTTAAGCAAATAATTTATGAACTAAAATGGCTTCTAGAATTTTTATTTTTGCCCTGGCTTCGTGAGAAGATCAGCTGCTGTGTGGGTTTAGGTTTATTTTTTTTTTATTCAACCCAATTGCAAAGGCTATAATACAATGTAGTAGCGCGATCGAAGTCGATGAGCAAGGCGAGGAGGCGAAGCACGAAAATTAAGAAATTAACCGAAGCACACAGTAACTCCCCCCCCCTAACCACCCTCCCGCGGGAGGGTGGTGGGGGGTGAGTTGTGCCGCGCTATTGGACAGCTGATTTTTTTTCTATTAGATATCTACCTTTATAATATTTTTGACTCTTTATATATCTACGAATCGTTTTTTCATCGCAACCGAGAGCTTTTGCTACTTGAATACCTGAAGAATAACTTGTGGTCTCATTCGTTTCTTTATCAAGAACCTTTACCGCTTGACCATTAGCTGCACTAATTTTAGCTTTCGTTTCTTCTGAAGGAGTTTTACCAAAGAACAAAGATTTTTGACCTTTCTTTGCTTCTCTCATTTTGGCTTTGGTTTCTTCTGAATGAGTTTTACCACAAAACGGATTATTTTGACCTTTTCGAGCTGCACTCATTTTGGCTTTGATTTCTTCTGAAGAGCAATGTCTTCTCATTTTCGCAAGAGCTTCTTCAGAATGTTTATAGCCCAAAGTTGACCCAGCTGTTTTCAGAATATTGTAATTGGGCTTTAAAAGATCAAGGTAATATTGTTCTCTAGATATTACATCGGATGGTTCAGAATATTCTAGTATTTCTAAGCTAAAGTTGGAATGTTTATGTTTCTTCAGAGCTTTATAAATAACCATATTAACTTTCGTTAATTGATAACTATTATAGTATAAATTGAATCTTTTTGCCAAATCAACAGCACTACCGACATAGAAATAACCATTTTCTAGATTTGTTCATCGATAGACTCCTGATTTTCCTTTATTTTCTTCTAGAATTCGCTTCTTCTGAGTATCAGGATTTGTATAAATTACTGCAGGAACTATTGGGACGATTGGATTATTATTATTAATTGTTTTCATAGTAGTGATTTTTATATTCTTAATCTATAGAACCGTGTCTCTTGGAGGGATCCATAATTCATAGGGGTTTACGAGGCAGTTACATGAACTAAATCAAGGCTCTACTCACTCTTTTCACATACTTCACCCAAGCCCGCTCCGAGACGCAAAACGGACCGATTCAAAGTTCTCAATCTTGTTATCCGGGTATCGCAACCCGTCTTATATCACACGCACATTGTAAGGGTTCAAACGGCTAACCACCTCCCCTTTTTTGCTTAGCTTTAGACTAAGGAGGAACGCGCCAACACTTCATGAGACTCCAAAAATCATACCTTATCCCCTCACGGCACAGCAAAGCCCACCCGAAAATGGTCTAACCCTTAGAATTTGTCCGCGTTTCTGCTCATTCAGAAAGCCTTTGTGTGACAAATACTGGAGTTCCTTCCACGGAATTGAACCGCCGTTCAGTTTTCTGAAGATTCTAATCAAAGGATACTGGGGTCTAGAAGTTACCTGATTGCAACTATAGACGGAGTTAGGCCCACTACGAAATTTTACTTAATATATATAATAAGAATTTCGTACTTTTCTACGAAATGCTAATCTTATTATATTACTTATAGAAGTATTTTCAACTTTAATAATTAAATCATTATTTTCTAATAATCTTAATCTTTTCGATGTAAACCAATTTGAAACAAGAGTTGACAGTTCAACCAGTTTGACTTCCTTATTTATAGTAATACCTAACGTTCAACACCCCTCTGCATCAACGAATACAGTAAAAATTCAAGAGTTCAGAATTACTTAGCGACTATGTATTCGAGCCTCCGGCAAAAAAAAGCGGCCCTTGAAGAAGCAAGAGTTCATAATTATTTACCAACCTCCGTTTAGTCGATGAGCTGCACACCACTCTTTACATAAAATAAATTTTTGGTGCTTGGCTGCGGATTATCTATTTCATTTCTTCATACAAATCGTTTTTACCATACAACGAGTCATTACCTGTTCCATTAATTACATTACTGTATCAATTTGGTAGATTTGTCTTTAAAAACTCCCCGCAGTTTGAAGGTTTTGCCTTATATTGAAAACGTTTAGATTATTTTTATTAAACTTACTTGAAACATTTTTCAATGTAAAACTAGGCGAAGGTTTACTCCACCTTTTCTGATCTAAATTTCTTCCTTGCCTGTCTCACTGTGATTATTTATGGCCTTATTCATACCACTCTTTAGTTGCCCCCCCCCCCTCTCATTATTTCCTTATGGAAATAATTGAGAGGGGGGGGGGGGCGTCGCTAAAATTTGTTCTAAACCTCTCCCATCTGGATTCAAGTGTTCTTTATTTTTAATAATATATACTGCACTCTTGAAATCTAGGTAATTAAAATGCTTTGACCCTACTACTGGGTGTTCTTCGAAAAAAGGAATTATGTGTTCAACTATGTGATCAGTTCTTGTGACAATAAACTCACAAACTGAACGTTTTTCATATTTAGCTAGTTCCTTTAGAAATTGAACGAACATACAACAAAGTTTGCACTGAATAAAACGGGATTTTTTATAAATAACCTAACCATCTAGCCTAATGAAACAAGATTCACCACCAGCCTTCCCCACCCCTCTCAGAGAGAGAGAGGGGGGTTACTATTTGTAATTTTTATTCTTTATAACCAACCATCTACGGTAAAGCATGTTTCAGACAGAAAGGCCTGAAACATAGTTAAGATACCGTTTATTATTATTCTCTTCCTGTATTCATTCCTGCCTTTATCTTCTTAATTTGATCTAACCCTTCAGCAGTCAAGTGAACCTTATTTTGAACTAGTTCACTAGCCCGCTTGAAATCTGCATAATCCTTTGATTTACATCCTAGAATTGGATATTTATCGAAGAAGGGAATTATTTTTTCAGTGATGTCTGATAGTTTGCTTACGACAAAATTACCAGCCTGAATATTTTGGGATCTAGCTTCATACCTGCCGCATCCTAAATAAGTTTCTAAACATTCCATTAGTTGTTTATCTCTATAATGTTGAGTTAGTTGAAATTTTAGTTGAACAGCGAAACCTGTTGTTGTTTTAGATTTATTAATCGACACATAAAAACAACCCTCTGCTTCAGTGAAACCAGCTAATCAATTAGAATCAAGAATTTTCATTGACTCCACCAAAGGTCTAACAGCAGGGATAATACTAGGGAAACCAGTATACAATGTCTCACTTAAACCCTTGTTCATTGAGGCCCGAATACTAATAATTTTTGTTAATCCTTCTGAAGTAAGGTGTTCCTTATTCTTCATAATAGCAACCACTTGTTTAAACAGCAGATAATCCGCTCTCTTTTGAGTTAATAAAGAATATTTATCAAAATGTGGAATAATAATATAGGTTAACTCTTCTAAGTCATATACAGAGTAGATACCTTGCCCATCTCTACCACGAATTCTTATAGTACCTACAGAAAAAAATGATTGTATACTATTTAATAAAGTTAAATCTTTTTTATGTAATTCTATAGAAAAGGAAGGTTGGAGACGTCATCCTGTTTTATGATCTTCGCTTTTGTAGATAGATACAGCAAATGTTCCTTCTCCATCTACTAAACCTGTAACGTAAAAAGGATTAAGATCTTTCAGATGACCTTTTGGATTATCATCTTTAGTAACACATGTGGTACTATATCATGATTTATTAGATGGGAGGGCTCAAGAAGGTAAATTTCCCCTTCTACGTGCTGGGGTCTTGAAATTCACAAGGCTCTCTAATAATAAGAGATCTCTTGAATGTTGACCTATTGAAAAACGTAGTCAGGTGGCTAAACCACTCTTAGTTTTAGATTTTTGAACAGTAATAAAGAAGTTAGATTCCCCTGTAGCAAATCCTGCTACTCATTCAGGAGATAAGTTTTTATATGCTGCATTGTTTTCAACCTCCGGTCTTTTTACAGGAACAGCGGCCCCGGGGGCCGTAGGACCCCCGGGGATGCAGTTCCGCCCTCTCTCTCAGAGAGAGAGAGGGGCGGAACAGCTCTTGGGAAAGCGGAGGGCCGCGCAGCGGCCCTCTGCAGGGTGGGCGCCCCTTCGGGGCGCCCGCCCCGTTCTTTTAAATCCTTAGATATACCTAAATTAAGAGACGCTCTAATGTTAACAATTTTTTGTACTCCCTCGCCCCCCCCTCTCTCTAATATTTTAAAAAAATATTAAGAGAGAGGGGGGGGAAAGTATTATGTTCTTTATCTAGCATGAGTAAAACAACTTGTTTAAATAATATATAGTCGGAAAACTTTTGAGTTATTAAAGGATAGCGGAGGGCCGCGCAGCGGCCCTCTGCAGGGTGGGCGCCCCTTCGGGGCGCCCGCCCCGTATCAAAATGAGGAAGAATAACGTTAATTATATCTTTTAAAGTACTAACTCTAAACTCTACCGTTGAGGTGTTATTAGGTTTAGATACATACATGGCGATCAGATTTATCATACAGACAGATATACATACTTTAAGAGATTCTTCCTGTGTTCATTCCCTCTTTTAATTTACGAATTTGGTCTGTCCCTTCAATAGTTAAATGTCCCTTTTCTTTCATTATGTTTGCAACTTTACAGAAATCTTGGAAATCTAATAATTTTACCCCTGCGATTGGATATTTAGCGAAGAATGGGATAATTTTATTATCGATGTCTTCAAATTTTGCAAATACTGATTCAAAAGTTTCTCTATTTTTATAAAGATTCCCACAATTAAAAGAATCAATTATGCTTCTCAATAGTAGCTCATCTCTATAGTGTTGGGCAATAGAAAATTTTAATTTTACTGAGAATCCTGTTTTATTAGTTGGACGTTTTTGAATCACAACATAAAAACAACCCTCTCCTGTGGCGAATCCAGCTAATCAATTACCCCCCCCCTCCAACCGTACTACGCGAGTAGTAGGTTGGAGGGGGGGGGGGGCGCGGATCGGGTATTTTTGGTACATGATTTGTAACTAAAGGTTTCTCTGTATTAGTTATATCCGGAAAGGCAGATTTTAGCTCTGGTGAAAGACCCAAATTAATAGAACCCTTAATTGCAACTAATCTTTTTAAACCCTCCATAGTTAAATGTTCTTTGTTCATAATTAGATTAGATGCTTGCTTGAAAAGACGGTAGTCCGCTAATTTCTTAGTTATTAAAGGATACTTATCAAGATGATTTATAATCACCTGCAAATCTTTGATGGATAGAACACGTAATAGAAGAGACTGTGGACCGTGTTTATATATTTTACCAACGCCGAAATAGTTTTGAATCTGATCTAATATATCTTTATCTTTTCGATGTAAAGCAATTTGAAAAAAGAGTTGAACACTTCAACCAGTTTTACATTCCTTATTTCTAGTAATACCTAACGTAAAACACCCCTCAGCATCCACGAATCCAGTTAAAAATCAAGGGTTCAAAGCCAAATTAGGATTTACCGGGACACTTTGTTGAACTGGTTTAGAAGAATAGT